AATGAACAAAGTCATGTCGCTCCTCCCTGATCAGAGAAAGCTGGCGTTTTGTTAGTGTTGGACCAGCTTGTTTAATGGGTTTACGATCTCTTGTTTTCCTGACTTCTTCTATACTGATCTCAATTTTTACATTCTTCAGGATGTTTGACATATACATATACGTTTGGCCATTTGAAATGAAACTTAAAAATTCAAAATTATCATCCCAAAGGGAAATTAAATGTTGCAGTAACTCATTGGGCTGTTTTTTTTTTTTGTTTTTTTTTTATCGAGTTGTTGTAGGAAAGATCTTCTGTAGCAGTCTGTCTTGCACCTGATCTGGAGAAGCTTCAGACTGAAGACAATTTCTTGTAGTTGTAAGTCTTCTGAAGAGGATGTTCACTGCTGTCCATAATCTTATTTACTTTAAGAAGAATTTTCCTTTGTGAGATACATATCATACTTGATTGTTGATGATTTTATGACATTGTCTTTACAATAATCAACAGTAATGATGATGAATCTGCAGATATCTAAATCCAAGTATCTGAATTAGTTCGGAATTGTTGAATACCACTTTTTGCATGACTTTGATGTAGGGATAGCATCAGAAAATGGGTTTTGCACAATATAGGCCCTTTAACATCCGAGGGTTGAGGTTTTGAATAATAATTCTGTTGAGCTTGGAGAGTTTTAGAATTAGTCTGCTTTAAAATATACAACAACATAAAGCCGGTCATAAACTGTAGGATTTTTGATTCTCCAGTTGTGCGAAAATTTTTTTGATCGTGTTCGAGTTTTAGCCTGATCGTGCGTCCTGCTTCGTGTAGTACCGGTATACGGGGGATAACGAGGGGCGATTCGCCTCTCGTGACCACGTCCCGATCAGGAATCGTGAGGTCGGGAGAAAATCAAACGTGTTTGAAATTCAATCATCACTCGAAAGGTTTTCATGAGCAAATCCTGCTGTACCAGTAGAGCTACGAGCCGATTTACCAGAACCTCACGCACTGCGAATGTGCAAACAAGGGAGTTCTTCTTCTTCTTCCAAATTGACGAGTTCGACCAGCGCCATCTCTTGCCGCTGAGTCCAACTTCTGGTTTTTTGATGTGCAATGTGCAAGTAGATAGCAGGTAGATCTCATCAGAGCGTCGGGCCGTAGAGTGTAAGAGCATGCATCATTAGCTGTGAACTTTTAAACCCCGCGGTTTCATCGTACAGTTTGAGCTGATTACGATTGAAAATATGGTACAGTGTATGACCTGCTTTAGCCCTTTTCACCTCAGGTCAGCTCTTCTTCATGACTTCTATAAAATAACCATTGGTGGGAAGTTTCACTGTTCCACTACAACTGAAAGCGACAGAGTAGATCTTATTAGGTTAGATTTTATTTTAGAAAATGCTGAGCATGTAGCATCATATTTACTTTACATCCTTCTTAAATATTAGCCTGCTGCAAGTTGCTCCCAGAAACATTACAAAGGCATAAATGACTGAAATGTGTAAAGATAAGAACTCCTTACTGATAAGTTTATGTTTTTGGTTGGATTGTACTGAAAACCTTCCTGTATTAGTTTCTAATATCATCACAGCAGAGGTTATATATAAATTCCCATTTGGGGAACAGCACCTGTTATTTAAACCTTCCCCAGAGACTGAATGACAGACGGTTAAATCTTTGATGCATTTATTTCATTTTCTTTTGCTCAGACAGCCCCCTAATAAAGCCGCCTGTCAGCTGTCACAGCCTGGCGTTGTAACTTATCAGCCGTCTCGTTTGGCCAGCCTTGGTGCTTTCCAGCCTGGGTGACGGCAGGAAGCGAGAAGCACATCGTGCTCCTGTGATTCAGGAGCGACTGCTTGGCTTGCATGTGCTTCTGTTTGGCAGAACAAAGTTGTACTTTTTCACTGTGCGGTGAACCTGAAACAGGACAGACTGAATTTGGATGATAAACTCCTTCTATGTGCATCAGCAACAATCTGAGGCCATCTGCTCTCCTTGTTAACTCACTAACCCTGTCAGATTGTCTGATTCAGGGCAGTTTTGCTTAGAAAAAGTGGTTGTTGTTTTACTGTTCTTTGCCAACTCATGTCCATCTGCTGCCATGCTTCAGATGAAATAGAAACCAATGATCTGCTCCTATTTGGTGTGGAGGCTGCAGTGCCTCAGACTGGAAGAAGGTGAGGAGAGTAGTGAGAACTGCAGAGAGGCTTCTTTCCCACCGCCATTAGACTCCTGAATGTTGTATAAAAAGGGGTTAAAAAAAATAAAATAAAGCGCTGAATGCTGAAAACTGTAAATCATATACCTGTTTACATTTTATCACTTTAGAATTTTGAAATTTCTTGAAAGCTATACTGAACGAAATGTATTTTTGTGTATACTCTATGTGTACGAAATGACTATAAAGTCTGTCTAAGTCTATTTACATTTTTATTTGATCATGAAGTTGTTAATTCTGTCTGAAATTCAGACATTTAAGAAGGTAGTTTGATCCTAATGATGAATGTTTTTCATAGGTTCCATAGGTTCTGTGTTTAGAGGGCCATAAGTTGACCAGTTAATAGCAGGACTTTGTGCCTGTGGTGAAATGATCCTTTCAGTGCTGACAGAGGGAGGAATGTATTAGGGGAAGGAAAGCATAGGAGGTGTTGGTAATGGGAAATGAAAAAGAGAGGAGGATGTGTACGTCTCTTTGGCACCCTTTGACTTGGTCGATGCTCCTCTGGGCAAAGTGATATGGAGTCGAACCATGAAGTAGGGACATGATCAGTGAATAAAGAAGCAAAACTAAATCTTATTAACAATGTTTTTATGAATTTAATTAGTGTCACCTCTTCTGTCAGCTCATTCCTTATCTACCCATTACACTACTGACTAGTATAAAGGGCTCGGCTGCAGCATTGTGTCGCAGTGAGCTTGTTGCAGGTATAACTCAGATATTTTTTGATTTATGTCCAATTTTGAAGCACAGTCTGCGCTATGTTATTCCACGCCACAATGCAAGAGGGACAATAAAAAACTAGCTAGGATTGTGGGTGCCTCTGTGTCGGTTTCCCTCATCCAACGCTGGACGACACAAAGTTCACCCGTGAGTGCTTCCGAAAGACTGGAGGTGGCGCTGCTTGTTTTTTGGATACAAACCAACAGACGATCAATCAGAGCTACAAACTACCATCATGCACAGTGTCTGAAATACTGTCGGAGGTGAGCCAGGTGTTGTGGACGGCACTACAGCCAGAGTTTCTGCCATTAGGTACCAAACAGGAAGTATGCATAGTGTAGAGCGGATGTAGAATTTACCAATCAGACTCATGCAGACGACCTGGTTTCTGAGCATAAACCAGAACAGAACAGGGCTGAATCAACATTGTTAATTATTGAATGGGGGTCTCAGGTCCCAGGGGAGCAGTGTGAGGTTAAGAGTCTTTGCTCAGGGACCCAGAGTGGGAGTCCGTGGGAGTGGGGCTTGAACTCAGAACCTCTGGATTCCAAGCATGGTCGTTAACCAGCCCCCCCACCCCCAAATTTTACCAAAATTGTGATTGCAAATTTATCTAGATTTTCTTCCGCTCTTACCCTAAACTTGTAGATGCCTCACCCCTGAGATTTTATGGTTTTCATGACTTTATATCTTGCTTGTATAAAGGCATGTATATACTAGTTTTTCCAAAAAAAGAACTAGTAAGGGAATTGTTGGCATATTCCTCTTTAGCCAGGCCAAAAATTCCCTTTAACGACCCCCCTTTCAGACACTTAGACAGGTATGGGGCATTACAAGCATTCCAAATGGGTGGATCCCTTCGTCCGTTTCAATTTGCATGTTATCAAAATAAAAACAAGACTTTGTTCGGCTACTGTATAACACCTCAACGCTATTCCTGATATTTTGGATTGAAAAAGCTTCCTGGATGGGAAGCGAAACTTCTTCAAACTGGGAAATAAAGTCCAGTGCATTGTTTTAAAAAATATTTTTCTTTTTTGGAATGACTATGACCTGGGTGACTAAGAATCTTCACCAGCACGTGTATATACCAACTGTAACTCTTTCGTTCATCTGTGTGGCACCAAACCTGCTTTAAGTGTATTATAGCCACCTAAAGGGCTGGGGTAAGAAAGTCAGTGACTTACTCTAGTTAAATTTGAAAAACAGTCTTTTGGTGAATTTTCATTGTATAGCTTATTAACGAATTGCTCAACAGAGTCTTATTTCTACATATTTGACTTTGTAGACCACATTGTTTGGCCCCTAGTTAAACTAGGCCCCCAGACTTTTTTTTTCTGCATGGTTCTCCAAATATGCTGCAGGCTTAGCTCCATAGAGCTGACGTGCTTCAAAAACTGGTCTATACCAGTGCAAGCACTAAAACGATGCAAAAATGACACAATAACACACCTATTTCATGCTCCAGTGTACAAAATGCTCTGTCTGTGCTAATGAAGGATCCTCTCACCTCAGGATGTTTAGTGCTTGAAATTCTTCCATGCTTTGAACTTTTTTGACAGCTTAAAGGGAACTAATTGACTAAGCATATTGCATTAATACATTAAAAAGTCTGAGCAAGATAAAATTATAAATTAGCTTTATCTCTTCTAGCTTCTAGAGATCCAGGATATGTCTCAAAATAGCTATCTTATTAACAGGAGATAGAGTTTACAGCAGCATTTTTGAATACCCCAAACCTTTAATTGTTAATTTCTTTTTATAAAAAATGATTTTTTTATTACAAGCAGTGGTAATGTAAGCAGAGGAAAAGAAATAAAAAGGTTTCCTTTTTGTGAAATTTTAGCCCAGTTGACAGCTTGGTTGATTAAGCTTTTTCATAACTAATGGCAAAGTGCTGTAATATGATAGAAATACATGGTTTGGGGAAGTTTTGGGCTTGCTTTTCACCAGCCCAAGCTCTGGACTCGCTACATCTCTACCACTAACTGCAGCGCCATATAGTACAGATGTAGATGTTTACATTTTTAAGTTCTGATTGTGTAATAGTGATTATTTTCTCTGTTTCCATGCAGGTTTTCACCTCAGCGGGACAGTCCGGGAATTGGCCACGTCCTCCGAAACAGAGCTGCTGTGTAACGTGAGCGTCAGCTTCGACCGCTGCAAAATAACCTCAGTAACATGCAGCTGTGGCAACAAAGACATTTTCTACTGCGCCCATGTGGTGGCGCTCTCACTGTACCGGGTACGGAAGCCCGAGCAGGTCAAACTAAGGCTGCCCATCTCAGAGACTTTATTCCAAATGAACAGAGATCAGCTGCAGAAGTTTGTCCAGTACCTGATCACAGTGCATCACACCGACGTGCTGCAGACGGCACAGAAGTTGGCCGATGAAATATTGTCGCAGAACTCCGAGATCAACCAGGTGCACGGTGAGTGGAGGAGCTGCTGTTTGGAGTTTATTGTTAAAAGACAGGTTGGACGTTCCATTGATAACAGAGTCTAATACATGCATAAACACACATTAAAATAGATGCACGTGTTTATTTTTTTAATTTGTATTCTTTCATACCAGTCAAGGATGAAGATTGCAAAAAACTGATGGAAAAAAAAAAACTTGAACATTTGTTAGAATAATTGTATTTGTCATTAAATTTGACAGGTTAACAAATTAATCTGCCAAAGGAATTTCTATTTTTGCCTTTAAAAATAAAATCATTAGATATTAACTTATAATAGGATAATGGAGTTATTATTAATTTGTGTTTTAAATGTACATCAACTTATTCCAATAGTAAATTAACTTACCTGCTTAAATAAATAAATTACAGACATTTAAATAATTAGCATTAATTTCAAAAAAAAAAAAAAAAAGAATTGTTTTTATTCACTATATTATTAAATACTTTTATAAAATGGCCAGAGGTGTCAAGTAACGAAGTGCAAATACTTTGTTACTGTACTTAAGTACACTTTTAGGTATCTATACTTTACTCCATTACTTATTTTTCTTCCTACTTCTGACTTCTACTCATTACATTTTCACACAAGTGTCTGTACTTTCTATTCCTTACATTTTTAAAACAAACGTTACTTGTTATTCTTGACTTTGGTTTAATGTTTCTAAATATTTATTTCACGTCATGTGCTCCATCCAATGCAGATCATTGGCTCCATCCACATCTAGTGAAAACTAGTGTAATTGGATGAGTTATAGAACGCAAACACTCATTGGTTAGCTAAAGGAAATCATCAGAAGCAAGCAGGTGTTCTTCAAACTGCAAACGTGAATGGTCTATGCCATGCTACGATGTCGGATTCAGAAAAAGATGTTGAAATATCTGAAAGGTCAGACACAGGCGAGAGCGTATCGGAAGATGGAGACCAACAAGACCTCACTCATCCTTGGCCCTATCTCAAAGAATGTTTCGAAATAGTCGAAAAATTGAGCTTTCAGTTCATATAGTGGCATCTGGGTGGGTTTTTTTTAAAGGTTACTTTATACTTTTATACTTTAAGTAGTTTTTGGAGCACATGCTTTTTCAATTTTACTTGAGTAAAGAGGTCAAGTTGATACTTCAACTTTTACAAGAGTGTTTTTAAACTGCAGTATCTATACTTCTACTTACGTAACAAATGTGTGTACTTTACACACCACTGAAAATGGCTCATAAAAACTGTTCTTTTAAAGAGATAAAACTATTTAGCCACTTTAATAGAAGGCTGTACATGTTTGTTCCTTCCTGATTCTTTTGCACACTTTAGGCTTTATTTTCCTACTTCATAGATGGTTCTGTTCAAGTACTTCCACTTTCTCTGTGGATCATGGTCGAAAGGTTTTAACAGGGTTCAGTTTCCCAAGAGATGTTGGTTAAGTGTTGCAAAAGTTGCTCTTCTAGGTTGGTTATAGTCAGGAGGTTTCATGCTATTGATCAGTGTTTAAGCTTAGCCAGCAGACATTAATGCATTCTTTCCAAAGGGTGTGCCTCTGCACGGTTTGATGGGAGCACATTCACAAGTACAGCTTGATGAGAAACAGCTATTTAGATAAGTATTTGCATTTCCTGCCAATTAATAACTCACATCCTCTAAAATTTCTGTTTAATTTTGCATCGTGGAAAACTTTCAAAAGTGCTGTTATTTCCAAGCAAAAAAAAAAATTATATATTAACCAGCCAATAGGGGAAGTTCTGACTGGGGAAGTCTCCCTTTTTCACAAATTCAAATATTAAAATCTAAAGATGCATAAAATGAAGTGAAAGTTGCTGAAATTGTCTCTTTTTTTTTCTTATGAATATATTTTTTCATCAAGCCACACAAAACAGTATGCACTTTATTCATCTTTTTGTGAGCATGTTGCTTGCATTCAGGAAAGCACTGTGTAAATTTTAGCCACTAGGAGCACTAGACCCTCAACTTCCATGTTTTGGGCCTCTAAAAGCGACTGACAGAACTGCACTATGGCAAAAGTTAGGCTGTTTCTCAGTTCACAAGAATGTGAGTTCTTGTGTCCTCGCCAAGTACCTTCTTGACAAGAACAAAGGAAAGTATGGACTCTTGGAGAATGGGAGAACGCAGCATAAATATGGGTCAATTGGAACAGAAGCGTAGTCCTGAGGTCACCACACGCTCTGCTCGTCTGGAGCTGCATTTCACCTCCTGTTATTAATAGTCTCTAGATAATAATTAATTCTTACTTTTTTCATTTAGTGGGGGAATAATATTTAACACAGTCAGATAAATGAAAATCAAATGAACATTTTGCCAAATAAAACAAAAAAACTCTGCTGTAGCCAGGCTAGGTTTAGACCTGGCTGCTGTTAGCCTCGGAGGTCCGCTGGTTGTCGCGGTCCTCTCAACTTTGGAATTTTTTTTTTTATTACACATTAAATTGGTAAATGAACAACGGCAACAGAAAAGAGAACTTTTAATTTAATACTCTGAGCTCTATGAGCGCTCCATTGAAGGTGCTGCTGCCGCAGTGCACTTTGGGACAGCTGTCAATCTAAGAAAGGACAGGTCTGCTCTGATGCATGCTGGGTAAAGGGGGAGGGGCGAGAACAACATCCGGAGACTTTGTCTGTTCTTTGTCTGGTCTGCTGTTCTTGTGAATTGGAACAGTGTTACTGCTGAGGGTGATGACGTCTCACAAGTAAACGAGCACATGAGAGAGCGCAACTACACATATTGAGAAATGGCCTAAGTCTTGCTCTCTGTCATGGAGTTGCGTGTAAATTCAAGGCAAGATTGACCCCTCTAGATTAAATCCTACATCAGAAAACCAAAAATATACCTAATAGGGTAAGTTTCATATTAATTTTGTTGGCTAACAATAACTTTTAGCTATTAGCCTTGTTTACATGACTCATGTTATGCATTTTCCTTCTTTTATACTGTTTAAATAATGTAAATCACTTTGAATTATCAGTATACTGAATTGCGTTCCTAAAATGAACTTGCCTTTCCTTGTCTCTTGAGAGGCTAAAGGGCTGGTTATACTCCAGCAGCAGTGTGTCGCAGTGAGCTTGTCGCAGATATTTTTGATTTATGCCCAATATCTGCGCTTTGTTATTCCACGCCGCAACGCAAGACGACAATCAGGAACTAGCTGTGGGTCTAGATACGGCCGAGAGGAAGTGGGGGCAAGTTTGTGTGACAACGGAGGGACATGAGGGCGTAAAAGAGCGGGCATCCAGGTGGAAAAAGGCTCCCAGCGTTCTCGGGCACCTCGCTCTTCTAGCTCGCCCCACGTCACGAGTCGTTTTCCACAATGGCGGTCATACAAACAAAACAAGCCGGTAAGGAACCAAACAGGAAATACGCATAGTGTAGAGCGGATGTAGATTTGACCAATCAGAGGCCTCCTGTCTTCGGCACTGTCTGCGGTCACCTGCACTTTCAGAGATATGCACCAGAGTGTCTGGGGAAGGGGCGGGGGCATATCCGAGTTAACTGCGACACAGGCACCCTGGTTTCTGAGTATAAATCAGCCTTAACACCTTAAACCTTTGAAGAGGTGCACAAGAGTGACTGCGTAAGGGGTAGGGGCATTTCTGCATTCATATTTCTGCGTTCATTGTGACACACGTAGACTATCTGGTTTCCGAGTATAAATCAGCCTTAAGCCCACACTGAGCCTCGATACACACCTAGTGCTGTACATTGACCTGAAAAATCTTTTAATGTGTCTCAAATGAAGCTGGCACTTGGGTTAGAAGTTGTGGTTTTAATAGTAGTTATGTCTACTCAATAAACCCAGTAATAATTGCCTTTTTGGAAGCGAATTAATTCTCAAATCAGAGCTTGGACTTAAAAAGTGATAAACTTTTTGTCCTATGTCATTAAGATAGCTAAACTCCTTCCTGTTTTTTGTTTTGTTTTGTTTTTTTCCCGCGCTGATAGGAGCTCCAGATCCGACGGCAGGGGCGAGCGTTGACGACGAGAACTGTTGGCATTTGGATGAAGAACAAGTCCAGGAACAGGTCAAGCTCTTTCTCTCCCAGGGCGGGTACCATGGCTCAGGAAAGCAGCTCAACTTGCTGTTCAGCAAGGTACTAACCTTCCAACCATGTTGGGGCTTTGATGCTGTTTTGCTGTCGTTAAGCTACAGAAACCTCTGATAGACGGGATACCACAGGGATGTGTGTTGGTGCCTTTTATTAATGCTTCTAAGAAGTTCTTTTTTTAAAGTCACTGTGTTTAACTTACCATACATTGGGTAAATATTTGTATGCCTTCTACATATTTGACTGTTTTTATATATTTTTTATGGCTTAGGTTTAATTTTTTTTACAGGTGTATGTTTTTGAATAACATTAGACTAGCCTTTGTATTGAATAAGCAGTATTTTTGTTTGTTTTCCTGACTTTTTGCTGACCTTTATTTTAACAGTTCTCTGAAGGATGATTACTTTAACTCTGTCAGTTGAAGCCATGGACATACTTGTGTTTCAATAGCTTTTCTTACCAATATTCAATGAAAAAAAGTAGATGACATGTTTATAGCTGTTATTTCTTGCTTGCCCCCCCAGGTGAGAGAGATGCTGATGATGAGAGACTCCAACGGAGCTCGTATGTTGACGCTGATCACAGAGCAGTTCATGGGTGACCCCAGACTGGCGCTATGGAGGCAACAGGGGACCACCATGACTGACAAGTACAGGCAGCTATGGGACGAACTAGGTACGACCACGGAAAGCACATTTGGATGCCGCATTATAGCATCACAGTTTGATTAAACAGGAGGATCTGCATCTTATTATTTTATTATTATTTATTTTTATTATTTAAAAACTTTCTGTATTAATAACATCCAATTGTGATTACAGTTGTAAAAAGAAAATCAGAAGTGGTATGAACGCCTTCTGTCCTCCCTAATCCTCTGCTCTAATAAGATGATGCATTACAAGCTGAATTAATTGGTTGAGACTCATATTTTCTTATAGGGTGTGTTTCTGATTTTTTTTTTCTTCATAGAAAGTGGATTCATTTTGAGTAGCGCTTTTCTTCTTTAGGAAAGGCAACATCTTTTCACCAGATGAGAGACGCTGCATCTGGGAAACAGACCATTGAAAAATAAGCAGTTTTTTCTCCTAATTTCTTGGTCGGAACTGCTACTTCTCTAATTCCTGATCACAGACGGTTGTGTTCCCTGTATGTGTGAGATGGTCCTGCAGGTTTAGTGACATATTTTTCTTCTTCTTTTCACCCTCAGGATATTCTTGCCAAATCATAGTGTGAAGTTAGAAAGCTGAGACAGAGGCATTTCTTGCAAGAAAAAAGATTAACATTTATCTAAACCTGGGTTTGAATGGAGACAAAGCCATTCTCAGGCACATATCAAGGTGCTCATTTTGAGCCTGGATCCATATTTATTTTTTATTCTGTTCATGGTGGAGAATCCTGCTTCACAGCAGCAGGTTGAGCCAAACATACTCAAATGTGCAGGCTCATCTTTGAGCACCATTTCACTCTTCTGTCACCACCTCCCCCCTTCTTCCAGCAGTCCACACTTTCTTTTACGTTTTCTCATCATCGTTACCCATCGCCCTGCTTGCCAAAGGTTTGCCTGCTGTGTCTAAAAGTAGCTAGCGGCAACAGCCCTGACTGACACAGCTCATTGGCTAATATGCATCATGTGTTGCCTGGTGCCGGATGCCTTTCCCACACAAACAGGAGAAGCGGCTCAAGTAAAATTAGACACTGCCGTCGGACAACATGTGGTAATTTATAAATGTTTTAAATCAGATTGGGTCCAGATTAGCCAGCAGGTGGGTCTGGCTCTGGTTCCGCGGTCCACTAATCTGTGACCTCTGGGAAATACCTACACACACACCAAGAAAAAAATCTGATCATGATAAAACAAGGTTATTCACAGCCAGCATCCTTCCTGATAGTCTTCACATAGGACTTTTTGAGCCTAAATAGAATTCCAGCACTGGGGGCTATCTGCTGGCAGAGCTACAGAAGTATCAGAAAACTAGATGTCGTAGTAAGGCCACAGCTTAGCGAGGATGAAAACCAACTGATTTGAATTATATATATATATATATATATATATATATATATATATATATATATATATATATATATATATATATATATATATTAGTGCTGTCAATCGATTAAATTTTTTAATCGCGATTAATCGCATCAATGCCTGAGTTAACTCGCGATTAATCGCATTTTAATCGCACATTTTTTTCCTGATTGAAAATCATTTAAATACTCTCGATGACATACAAAAAAATACATACAGGCTAGGTTTGTGCCAATGTTCTTTTTTTTAAATGAAAACAGGTCACAGATACTGATTTATGCCATAGAAACATATGGCAAGAAGATGGGGAGGCATGTAGCAAAAAATAACAAATATGTAGCCAAAAAAAAGGCCCTGAAAACAGGCTGATGTAAAAGACAGTCTTTACAGTTAATACAGTCTTTTGAACAAAGACAAGCATTTTATCCTACTGCTATAAAATTTAGTAGAGTTAAAATTAGATGTTAATTAACCAAGGTAATAATGAACAATTTTCAATCAATACATCAAAATCAATAGACCGACATCACTAGATGAAGGTAGTCTATGCTCTCTAGAAAGTTACTTTTCAGCCTCTTAACAAAAATGAGAACACACACACACCCACTCACCCACACACAGACACACCCACCCACACACACACACACGCGATACCGACGTGTTGCGTACACAGACGGCAAGAGTGCTGCTACGAGATTCCATTTCACCTCAGTAATCAGTTTTCTCAGCGTATTTCAGGTTGCTACTAGTTACCAGACACTCAACTTGTTTGTTGGTGGTGGGGCTTAAAGAAAAGGCACTAGCGTCACCCAGTGTATGAGCGTCTTTTTCCCTTGAGGAGCTCCGCTCTTGAAGCCTATGAGAAATGCATAGACTGGGGGAAAATAGCCCCGCCTTCCCGCAGGCTGCAGCGGGATGTACTTGGAAAAATTGTACCATAAAACCACATAGCGTTAATCTCACGTTAAAAAAATTATCGCCGTTAAAATGGCCTCGCGTTAACGCGTTAATAACGCGATAATTTTGACAGCACTAATATATATATATATATATATATATATATATATATATATATATATATATATATATAAATATATTTATATAATTATATAAAAATATTAAAATAATATATAATAATAATAAATCGATCAGCAGCAACTTTACATTCTAGTCAATCCTCTCCAGAGGATTATTTCCCGACTAAATAGGAGGTTACAACAGGTTTAGCTGCGGTAGGCTACTTCCTCGTTTAACCCCGTGGCCATACGTACAATATCGTACCTCTGCTGTTGTAAATATTCATGAAGGGCTTAATTTACAACTAATCTGAGCAGAAAAAATGTATGAAGCACAAAGATAACAAATAATGCATTAGCAGGAGGTGGTAATTCACTTGCCTTTCTTAATATTTAAGAAAGTTTTTGTATGCAACCAGAGGGAGTTACTGGTGTATAAATCTTTAAAATGTCAAATAATCTACAAAACATCCACCTCATTTTGGGAAATTCTTACCTATTTTGCATACCCAAATCGAAAACCAAATAACTGAGGAACTGCAAGCCCAAATTACACGTTACACAATTATTTAAAAGCTAACTAATATGTACATGAACATTGGGTGAGTAAAACTCAGCCCAAGCTGCATCAGTTCAAACATGACTCAAAGTAATAGGTCGTTTTTGAACATCTGTAATAAAGACATGCTTGCTTGTTGTGGCTGCTTTGTCAAGTTGACATGTTGACATGCTGCTACAGCTGTGTTAATTGTGCTTTAGTGCTCGGTGTGTCCATATAATGAGCTTGGTTTATGAAATGTGGAGAATCTAAGCTTTCCAACAATGTCTAAAATGTTTTTCAGAAGGTAATTGAATGGTTGGAAACTGGTATTTTTCTCTACGCATTAACAAAACAAAGAGACTGTTTTCTTTTTAGAAAATGTCCTACGCAGAAACTCACAGCACCTGTTTCAAGACAGCTTGTCTTCAGGGCGCCACCATACTGTCACTGAGGAGAGTAGAAACTCTTCCTGGTGTAAACGCTTCCCTTCATCTTATTTGTGATGTAATCCTCTTGTCTACTTCGTCTCCTGAAATGTCTCTTCAGGATCGTGGTGCCACCTCTCCCTCATCCTCCCTCTTCCTCATCCCCCCTGTTCTTTTTCCTCATCTCACCTGCCAGCCTTCTTTAATACACCTTAATGTACTCATCTCTCCCCTCCTCTTCCTGTTTTCTATCCTTATATTTTTCTGTAAGCTCTTTTGTAATCGCTACTTGCATTAAAGCTGCAATGCTTGATAATATTTTACAACACTGGATTTAAGGGTTGATCTATGTAATCATTTTGAAGGAAGCTTTAAAACTTATTAGACAAAGCAAGACGTCACACAGCTGCACGGTTTACCTTTAGCACAAGGAAGCGATGTCACTGATGTCGTTTTTCCTCTATAGGTCCCCATCTTTGTTAATTTGTTGTGCTGTGATAGCTTATTGCTGAATCTAGGCTGTAGGAGCAGAATGGGAATGTGAATGATCTCCGGTGTGTTCTGCAGGGGCCCTTTGGATGTGCATCGTGCTGAACCCTCACTGCAAACCCGAGCAGAAGGCTGCGTGGCTCCAGCAGCTCCGCAGGTGGAACGGTGTGGACGTGTGTCCCTTGGAGGATGGTAACCATGGCAGCGAGCTTATCAATCTGACCAATGCTCTGCCACAGGGCCCTCCTGGCAACCCAGGTGAGATGACACCCCGGCGGAGGCAGGAGCGTTTTACCTCCCCCCCTCTCTCTCACATGTCACCTTGTCAGCCTCCTTCCTGGTGTGGCCTCCCTTCGTTCTGCTGCTGTAGTAACACCTTTCAGCCCTCCTCCCCCCGCCCTTCCCTCTTTTAATCAAGTCTCCGTGCTTCAATCTCAGCGCCTGCAGGCCTTATTACCCGTCAGCGTGGCTAATAGAACGAGCCTAATAACACAGCAGAGGTCCTGCAGCCTTTTCTGTCTTTTTTCCTATTTCGGCTGCCTGCACTGAATCAGAGAAAGTGGCTTTCTCTCAGCCAGTAATAAGATGTTTGGAAGAAGGATTTTTATTACTGCCGGTGTTCTCATGCGGTCAGTATCTGCAGATCTGTGTCATGTTGACATTTTTCGGTTTTGTTCCCAGAATGTCTTCAGAATGTAAACAGGACATACATGTTGTGTATTCCAGAGGTATTGGTAATCCGCCATTGTTGTTATGTTGTTACCGCCCCTAAGGTCATTGCACTTTGTTGGGATTTTATGGGATTGACTAAACTATTAGTGGTGCTTAATTTTGGTGATGGGCAGCTGGAGGTGTCAAAAGTCGAAGATTCTTTACTTACCGTATTTTCACGACCATAAGGCGCACCGTACTAAAAGGCGCACTCTCAGTTATGTGTCCCATTTCTGTATTTAACACACACATAAGGCGCACCGGACTATAGGGCGCGTTTTTTATTTACCGGTACATGTCCTCTACTACCTTTAAATACCTCTACTGCGTATTTAAAAATACAGCGGGGGCAAAACTGAGTATGACTGTGCTTTATTCATGTATTTATTACAAACTATTAATCAAACCTGGGTGCTGGCCATGAGACACATCGCAGATGACAGTGCGCTGTGATCACTCCTAAATTAACTTAAAATCCTGAAACCTGCCGACGGAATTTGTTCGCTTTTATTACCAGTATCCTGGTGCCTGCAGCTAAAATTATTTAGATGAAAAACACCTGCCAGCAGCCGCGGTGAGGCTGCTGTTGAAGGGATTTAAACAGCAGCCTGTCGGTGCACCGCTGGTATGTGGGGGTCTGAGCGCCTCCGACAGAAATAGATAATCTGGATGAACTGACTGCAATGATTAAATTTTCAGGTGGACTTTCTCACTTAAAAACATATTAAAACTACTTTATTCCCACTGATCACAGCAAATATAGCTGCAAGATTTAGATTATTTAGATGAAAAAACACCTGCCAGCCGCCGCGCTGAAGAGGAGGAGGAGACCAGAGGCTGCTGTTGAATTAAGTTTTCAGGTAGAAAAATAGAGCGGGAGCAAAACTGAGTATGATTGTGCTTTATTCATGTATTTATTACAAAGTATTAATCAAACCCATCAAAGTCATCATCCTCTGTTTCTGAATTAAACAGCTGCGCTAAATCAGACATGCCAATTTCCCCTTCTTCGCTGTCAGAGTCACTTTCCGTGCAGCGCGGCTCCTCAGAAATAATGCCGGCTTTTGCAAAAGCTTGAACAACAGAGCCAGCAGACACATTAGTCCAAGCATCTACAATCCATCCGCAAACGGTGGCGTAACTTGCCCGGCGCTGCCTTCCACTTATCCTCAAACTGTGGTCTCCGTCTGTCATCCATCGCTCCCACGCCGCTCGCAGCCTTACTTTGAACGGCCGCTTCACACCGATGTCGAGCGGTGGAAGTTCCTTTGTCAGACCCCGGGATAACGGTGAGCACAGCATCCATTTGATTCACCATGTTTTTCTCATCAGCTGTGAGATGGGCACGCATGGAGTCACAGATTAACAGCGATGGTGATGCGTGGAAAAAACCACCTGGTCTCCTCACATACACCTGCCTCAGCCACGCTTTCATCATCTCCTCATCCATCCAGCCCTTTCATTTGCGTTAATATCATATGTCATCAGAGCGCTGTTTCTGTCTCGCTGTCAGCTCCCAGATCAGCTTCTCTGATTGGTTGATGCGGCGCGTCCAGCAGCAAAACTTCAATTTTTCCATCTCGAGCAGCAGCAGCGCGTTGGCGGTGCTTCAGATGATAAACGCTCCCGAGGCGCTGCGGCTGCTGCTCAAAACGCGCTGCGGGACCTTTTGCTGCACCTATACGCGCGTAACCATTGACTTTGCATGTAAACTCGCTGCTTCTGCTGCACCTGCTGGGTCCGGTTCACACCGATGTCGAGCGGTTGAACAGCGAGCACAGCGTTAATTTGTTTCCCCATGTTTTTCACATCAGCTGTGAGATGGGCACGCATGGAGTTACATATTAACAGCGATGGTGATGAGTGGAAAAAAACACCTGGTCTCCTTACATTCAGCCACTCTTTCATCATCTCCTCAATGAGGTGGTCTCAAAAGTCGCAGTTACAACACACATAGGGCGCACCGCACCATAGGGCGCACCGCACATTTTTAGGGGAAAAAAAGACGTTTAAGTGCGCCTTATAGTTGTGAAAATACGGTAAGTTAAACTATAGATTCCCGTGTTTAAAAATAAAAAAAGACTGGTAAAAGTAAAGATTAAACCCTACTTAAATTAAAAAAAATCAAGATTATAGATTCTACTAAAAATACTACTAATAATACTAGTAATAATACTAGAAATATAGTGTTTTTGCCTAAATCAATATAAAATAACTTTTAGAAGCTACATTAAAAACTGTTTAATACACAGAAAACGTGTTAATGCCATTACTTTTATGTTATGTTGGTAGAAGAGATATGAAAAAATACAGACTTGGTCTATTCTTGTTTTAAATAAAAAATTCAGACAGGATAAAACAGATTGAACTGAACAGATATATATAGATAGATATATATATATAGATATCTATCTATATATATCTATCTATATATATAGATAGATATCTATATTTATATATATATAGATATATGTATATATATATATATAGATATCTATATTTATATATATATAGATATATGTATATATATCTATATATATAGATATCTATTTATATATGTATATAGATATATATATATATATAGATCTATATATATATATGTATATATATATATATATGTATATATATGTATATATATATATATATATATGTATGTATATATAGATATATATATATATATATATATATATCTATTTATATATGTATATATATATATATATATATATATATATACACGACAAAAATAATTGGAAAAGTAGAAAATGAAAAAATAAATACTTAAAATCAGTCTCACACCTACATTTTGAAATAGTAAAACCTGAATTATGTGTTATTAAAAAAAAATACAATATGGAAAGCTGAAAACCTGAAAAAAAAACTTTTGAAATTGTAGAATATATTGGTTCTATTTTGGGTACACATTATGAAAATGTTTTTCCAAGTTCCATTTTTTTTCATATTTTACTTCAAATATCCATTTATTTCTTCTTTTTTTTTTCTTTTGACACATGTTTCTTGGTTTTAATTATAGTGTAACAAATTTCTCCCCATAGACTTTGACCTGTCCTTTTGCTAAATAATCCAACTCAGTCATAATGGCTGAGTAACATCTATAAACATTTATTTTGAATTGTGCTGCTATTTCTCTGCCGGGGCATTAAGCACAGGAATAAACTGTTCTAAGTGTTTTATATAAACCTCAACCCACATCCCAAGACGTTTTAGTTTATCTCCTAACATCGTACTCTGAACTCTGCCCTCTGCCCTCTCACTGCCTGATGTAGCTAGCGCCATGGTTTACCACCAAATATGTTTTAGATGCAGGTCTAAATGTTCATTATTCATCTCATGTTCGATTTGTTCGTCCATGTCTTGTGGCTTATTTAAAACATCAAAAAGCTCTACGTACTTTAACATATGACTGTACCTCTGCCTCTACTTTGTTCTGGGCCGCTACCTTTGATGATATTTTAGTAAAGTAGCACCATTATGTTAAGCACTCTAACTCTACATATGACAAAGAAGAGAGATCAGGTTTGTTATAATAAAAGATCCTCTTTGAAATGTTCATATGAACCACTAATGTCTTCTTTCAGACTCGCTGACTCGACCTCACCGGACAGTCTTCACACGAGCTATCGAGGCCTGCGACCTGCACTGGCAGGACCCCCACCTGCAGCACATCATCACAGAGGACCACTATAACAACTACTGTTACCACGACAACCTCGACGGCTCCCTCTTCGACTCCAGAGGGTGGCCCCTGTGGCACGGTGAGCAGCCGCAGGTCATTTATGGAACAGAATCTTTTGTTTTTCTAATTTTTGGTTTGTTTTTTTCCACTGCAGAGCACGTCCCTACGGCGTGCGCCAGAGTGGACGCCCTAAGGTCACACGGTTACCCCAAAGAAGCTCTCAGGCTGGCCATCGCCATCGTCAACACGCTGCGGAGGCAACAGCAGAAGCAGCTGGAGCTTTTCCGTGGCCATAAAAAAGGTTGGTGTGTCTTCCTTTACTTCCACCTGCTAAAGGTTCTGTGGAGTTTTTTTACAGGCAGAGTTTTCTGTAAAAAAAAAAAAACAAGTAAAATCCCAATACTGCTGGTTTTGTTTCTGTATTTTCTGTTGAGTCAGCAGAGGAAGATGGAGGAAATGAAACTGATGTGTTATTTTAAGCTGTCAGGAAAAGTTATCAGCAGGGTCTCAAACTCAGCTTCACCTCATTAATGTGTTTTAAGTGGAAAGAAAGAAATGTATAATAGCTGTGAATACCGTGTTGCTTAAATAAAATCCTAAATATACCATCCGTCACAGTAGACTGAAGCTGTGGCAGCATTATGCTGTGGGGTGATTTTGTATGCTGCAGCTGGATATATATATAAATATAAAAATTGAATATATATCTTATATATTATATAATATATATATAATATACATATTATATTTATATATAAATATAGAAATTGAATATATATCTTATATATTATATAATATATATATAATATACATATTATATTTATATATAAATATAAATATTCATTATAAAATATTGAGTATAAAAATTGAGCCATTTAATACAGCATGGATTTGCTTTGATCACTCAAAGTGTTGATGACGCAATATTGATTTAATGTAATTTTGCATTAAAATCATGTAGCAGGAGATACCAGGTGGTTCTGAGTTATTTTAAAGCAAATAGGCTTATTTTTAAGATCATTTTTTATTTTTTCTAAAAAGTGAATATAGCTTTAAAAATATAGGGCTACATCCATGTTATCAATGGAGAGTAGAACAGAAACTACTCTTTATTACATCAAAACAGACACACTTCTGTTACACTGTTGTAAAAAACGTTTATAGTAGGTTCACTTTCCATTCATTTGAACTTTGAGACGATAGATTAAAAAGAACAATAAATGCAAAGTATGAGCAAATATCAGTTTACCGGTACTCTGAGAGAAAAACGGTTTAATTACCTTGCATTGTGCGTTTGTCTACCTCCTGTGGATCTATACCAATAACGGCCATCTTTACTTAGTATCTTTTTAAAGACACTGTAACATGCCTCTTTAATGCTTTCCATCGCTTGAAAAAAATATATAATTTATCTACGAATCTATACATGTAATGCATGTCGTAATCCTTTCCCTGCATAACACCATCTACTGATCTCCTATTAACAGGGAGTATTTCTGAGTCACTTCTGTTTCGGCTCTTGTGCGAGCTATCTGTCCTCCGCTGTCTGACCAGCTCCATGCATTTTCAGTAAACTCTTTGCAACCTAATTTTATATGAGCCAATTTTCTGTTATATCGACGTGTTTTTCTTTAGGTGGGTCTTCTGTATGATTGATGTCGGGGCAGATCTGGACGCTTTGGCATAGTTGAGATCAGATTTCCTCTGTTAAACACTGTAGTAACACAGCTGTATGTGTTCCTGTTCCCTCAGAGCTGCTCCATAGAGGCGTAACATCCGTCACCAACCTGGAGGGCTGGGTGGGCCACCCTCTGGACCCCATCGGGACTCTGTACAGCACCTTAATGGAGAACGGACGGGGAAGCGATGGCAGAGTGACGCTCGACTTCTCAGGTAGATTCACAAAACAGTGAATATATTCAACGCTTCTTCACTTCATTAAAATGGCACAGCTGATTATTGGAAAACTGACCTTTGATTCCTCATTCCTTGTTTGGATTATTTTAGGTAGAACTTGATCACATTTCTTATTTAACAAACATGATTGTGGGTTACAGGGCTGTGATCACTCTGATCTTCCACTTTTGAGATGATTTGAGAGTAGAGATCAACCAGTGCAGTGTTTTTTTATGGCATTTTGTTTTTTTGTTTTTTTGCATCAGTTTACCCGATAGCCGATATATGCTGCCAATATTTTTGGGCTGAATCTTAATGTCTTTTAAGGTCCTATTCCGTTTTCTTCCTCCACTTACATAAAATATGTGACACAATGATAACATCTATTAACTGGTTTCAATTGGAACGAAAAGAGTACATTTATTAAAAAATCAAACAAAATATTAACAATTTGTAACAAATTATGGAGCTAAATTGAGGCCATGAAGTTTGTTTAAAAAAAAAGAAAACTGCAATTACGTTCAGGTTTAGAAATGCCTTTTTTTTTTTTAGTTTCAGATTTCTTTCCAGTTTGAAACTGTTGTTAAATCTTTCTAGGGGGCGGGGCTTAGATCTGCAATGATTACTGGTTGACCCATTTCTTGCAGTGATCGGACTTCAGCGCATTTATTACATTTTAAACCTGCAGATTGTTTCTATTTTTTTACTTTATACAGGATTGCTTAGCAGGCTTTTTGTGATACAGAGTGAATGAAAGGAAGAGGACATTAACCAGTTAGCGATCTTCATCTTGTTTGAAAACAAACAGCAGGAATGCAGGCGGCTTTTTCAGGCTTTGCTCCTTTGGATTTTGGTCTCTTAATATTATCATCTACTGGACTGGAGGTGTAGTGCAGTTTTCTTCACTTGTCATTAGGCTGCCATGGCCTTTCAAAGAAGTGGAAACAAAAAGAGCACAAAATATCACTTTAGCCTGGTTTAAAAAAGGAAAAATCCCAGAGTTTATTTTTATCCCTGAACATTTTGTGAAAAAGGGGCAATGGTTGCATTTACAGTTGGCAGAGGTTTTCTTTTTCCACAAAAGCACCATGACACAGTAATGGCCGGGTCTTTCCTGTCAGGGCGGCAGGGCCTCGGGTGGTAATCAGCAGAGATGACACAGACGTACCGATTGGCCTGAAGTCATCCTCCAATAACGGCTCATGAATAAGAAATGCAGCAGGAAAAACACTCCAATTAAAACACATTAATTATGCAGGAACCTCAGTGAGACGGATTTCATCATGCCACAGCCAGACGGGACGTCACAGCAGCCCGTCCACTGGCTTTTAGCCCCCCACTCAAGGTCCCCTCCATTTATCAGGGTTTGTCTCAGGGAGAAAAGCATTATTTTTTATTGTTTATCACAACTTGAAACAATATCATCACATACATTTGGAAAGTAATTTGGGGGATTGACTTCTAACAGCTATTGCAGGCTTTCCAGCTGGTTTCATGCCAACAGTGTGGATTCTCTATTCTTAAATCACTTCAGAGCTTTTCCTGTGTTTCAGATTTCTGATTGATTGGGATCCTAAGTACTGAAATTTTAAACTTTTCACCCACCAGTTATTTAGTTTATCAGTCGGGTTGTAGAAGTATCTGAAGCAATCTCCCAGAAAACCCTCTTATTATAATTCTTAATTATTTGTCAATTTATCTGAAAAATGAGGTTGTTGTTTTTTGAGAGGATAGGAAGTATGTGATTAGTTGGAAAAACAGGCGTAACTTTCTGAAGGACTGGTGAGGACAAGTCCCCATCAATAATTTCCGCTTTTCTTCCCTTTTTCGCTAATTTAATTTAGCTAAAGGTAACAGAGGTTTGGTGCAGCTAATTGTGTTCAAAGCGTTTTGAATCAGTGTTTTTTCCCGCCTCTTGGTCTAACATCATCGGATCTGTCGCGGCCGCATTTCACTGCTTAGAGAGTAGCTGGTTGGAGGAGAGACACACAGCGGCACTTAGTGAATATTAACCAGCAGCTACTTTGATGTTAAAGTAGAAGTTAGAAGACGGGTTGGTTAAAAAAATTAGAGATCATACCACGGAAAAATCTTTTCATTTAGAGAAACAGATGTTTTTCAGCTAAAAATTACAACAGATTGTAAGTTTATACAAGTTAGTATATAATGCAAGAAGCTTGAGAAAACATAGTTTGTTCTTCTTTACTGGTTAAAAAAATCTGGTCTTCTCAGAGGACCATGGCTCCCAGTTACAGGTTAAAATGAACACGATTCTTATTGTACAAACAGAATCAGACTGCAGAGCTTCTACATATCGTGAAATGTTGTTTCTGGCATCATTATATTAGTAAAGAGGTTCATAAATCTTTTTAAACAGAGCACAGAGAAAAGTAGGGAGATTTACTGGAATATGCAACATGAAATAAAAAATATCTCCAAGTTTACCAGAAAGTTAACAACAAAACAAATATGCTATGCTTTATTTAAAATGCGGCATATCCATATTTTTCTGGATGGATGGATTTGAAATTTTACATTTTTTACATTCTAGGGATGCATGACATATCGATTTTGGCTGTTATTCGTTATTTATTTATACATCAATGTTTTTTTTGGGCCAAATATATATAATGCACTAAAAGGCATCTCTCTGACATCTTTGAATATAAATAGCAATGTGTTATGGTTCTCTTGTGTTCTCAACAATAGGAAAGCATTCAATAAATATATGTTTGAGCTCATTTTTGGAAAATACAAAAACCTAAAGAAAGCGTTTGGGTGGAGTAACAGTAGGTCCATCAGCCCGCCACCCTTAGAGTGTCCTCACCAACTTCCATTACAAAGTTACACCCTGGGTTGGAAATAAAACACAACAAAGAGTCGACTGTATCTGAACCATCGTTTGTTTGGAATCGGTCGTAAGGTTTTCAATTAAAGCAGCTTTTTTCTCTCCGGGTGAGTGTGTGTGAGTTAGTGCTTTTTCTCCAAGGACCGTCGACTCTCCTGGGGTAAACAGCGAGGTCTGCCTAGACATCATTACACCTTTAAAACACATGATTACTGCTCCCAGGAGGCCTCACACAGGGAACAGGAACACCAGAATAACCGAGTGGATCAATAGATTTATCGATACTCAGCTCAATGCACATCCCAGAGGGGACGTTTATTTTTGCTAAGTCACCGCCCTCTCCTTCCTCCTCTCCCCGTCAGGCTCGTGTAGAAGGACGGAGAATCCCGTTTACACGCCTTTCCTGGAGGAAGGAGAAACGTTTGTGTTGCTGGCCGTAGAGACGGCGCTGATCGGTTTAGGGCAGCAGAGGGTGATGCCGGACGGCCTCTACGCCCAGGAGAAGGTGTGTCGCAACGAAGAGCAGCTGCTGGCCAAGCTTCAGGAAGTCGAACTGGACGACACGCTGGTGAAGATCCTGCGGAAGCAGGCCACGTTACTGCTGGAGGGTCAGTAAAGCAGCATCTACTCTGCATCTATTTTATTCCCTTTAAATGTTTTATATGTAATGGTGTTCATCTATCTCATTAAACTCAGCTTTAATCTAGTTTAGTAATATAGTGCCAAATCACAAAACATGTCATCTTCAGGTACTCAACAGTCAATTCAGTCAGATCATCCAGTCAGATTGGATAAAAAATTTTCTTTCTAAGGAAAACCAGCTGATTGCACCCAGCCATTGACTTTATAGCATTTCCTCCTCCAGGAGGATCATGCAGAGACAGTAGATATTGTATTTTTCAACGACTCTGCAGCAATCCCAACACTTATCATGCATTCAACGACAGTGGGGAGAAAAAACTCCCTCTAACAGAAACCCCCAGTAGATTCAGGCTCAGTGAGAACAGGTGCTGATCCTTCCGAAAATAAAGCAGTGACAGTAAATAGTGGTGAAGTTTTTCAAAGGATGGACTAAAATATTAATGGTCTCAAATATTCGAAGGCATTCTTACATACTTTTTTTAAATTGCAGACTTAAGTTCCCGTCTAAGTTTATTTGCATTTATTTGTTTTCAGTGTAAATTTATTTCTGTATTTTTAAAATAAAAATTTTAATAATTATAATGATTTTTATTCTTTTTATGCTGCCTCTGTTGATGTTATGTGGAGAAACCTGGCTATTTATTCTAATTATTCTTATTTCTTTTATTAAAATAATATTTATTGTAACCTTTTCTTAACATTTGTTCAATTGACATCAAAATTTGCAACGTACCAAGGATAGCGCAAAAAATAGTGCATATACAAATTAAACGTAGATGTATATATATAACATTTACAACAGAAACTGTTAAAAATCAAGTCATTTAAACTCCGATAACTCAGTTACTCATTTTATAGTTTGATGCAACTAAATAATACAAATAATGAGAAGATAATCTAAGTATTTATTATACATAGATTGAAGTATTTTAAGTCCTTTCCTGTAAATCTGACAATTATGGTTCAACGATGATGATAAAAAATAAATAAATAAAAAACTAAAATTATATGGGAAGAAATTTGCTCAGGTAATGTTGAAATATAAACATATAAATATAAAAATACTTTTTAAAGAAGAAAATTAGAAAATGTGTTTCAAAACTGAAAATATTTCAAAATAAAAAATAGGTTTTGTGGTTAGTTTATAATGTGTATACAGAAGTTTTTTGTTTGTTTTTAAGTTGGATTTCTATATTCTTAGATTTCATTTTTTCCAACTTTTTTTCAAACTTTAATTTTTGTTTGACTCTGTCTCATTTCTATTGGTCTGCCTCAGACCATCCAGAAGTTTAGAGGGTAAAATCTGTAAAACAATATTATTGGTGTCTCCCAAAAAACATAAAACAAATAACATTTGAAAAAATCTAATCTGAAGAGAAAAACAACAAACTACAAAAAAAAGAAAAAGGTTGAACTTTTTTTATACCCATTATGAATGACTCTCATAGCCTTTTTTTATTGATATGCTTTTCAAGTTCAGTTATTTAAACACATTATCTTCAAATTTCCTTTGTTTGAATTGCTTTCTTTGCTTTTAATAATATTGAAACAAACATCTCTCCATAGCTTTATGCTTTAGCAAATAACAGTATTGTATAGTAAAATTTAAAACAGTATTTTAATGCCTAAATTACTTTGTCATTAAAGTTCAAATGAAACTTGATATAGTTTCTAATCACAGCGCTTCGCACACATACGAACATATTAGGATGTTATTTGTTCTCTTTCCACCTACCTTTACTCTATGTACTTAAACACGGTGCTCCCCTGAGTTCATTTATTTACACTCGGAGTGTTTGAGATGCTCTGTTTACACGTCAAAGTATTGTTTGCGTTGTCGGCCTGGTTGCATGTGTGCGCTGAGGGCTAAAAACGGCTTGCGGCTCGTCACGGTTCAGTGCTCCTTTCCCCACTAATGATAGAGATGGTCAGCCCCTCGCATGAGGCGTCACTGTCCCCGGTTGGTGGTGATTACAAAGGGGACGCCCACAGGAAGTCCCTGCTCGTTCATTACGGAGGGAAGGGTTAAAGCGAAATGTAGTCAATTCACTTTTAGACAATGGGTGGCAAAGGAAGCGTTTTTGGGATGTTTGGTTTTTGCCCAAAAAAAAAATAAAAAAAAAATCCACAAACCCCACTACACTAGTATTGGCTGTCAACCCAAAGTGTTTTCCAATCCAAAAGCAGGTGAAGCCTCACTGTGCTTCCCTGCCCTGGCACAGAAAACAAAAACTTACTTTTTTCTCCAGCTTTTATTGTCATTACACTGTCATGAGTGAAGAACAATGACATCAACTCTCTGCATTTAACCCATCCCCTTAGGGAGCAGTGGGCTGCCATTGTGCGGCGCCCAGGGAGCATTTTGGAGTTGAGGGTCTTTTTGCTCATGGACCCGGAGTGGCAGTCTTTGGGAGTGGGGCTCGGACTCAGAACCTCAGGATTCCAATCTCTATGCCCGAACCACTAGGCTGCTGTTCTGTCAGATCAACATACCGCGTCAGGCCACCATACCTGTAGTAATACGCATTACAATGAGTTTGCTCTGTCTCCACTCTCCTTAGAGCAAATCACGCTGTTTTATTTCCTGATTTAGTCAGGATTTTGTTGTTGTTTTGTGCATAAAACATCAAAAAAAGTCCTTCACTAGGTCCACTACACACATTAGCTTTAAAAAAAAACATTACAAGTCTTTTTGACAAGGATCTTATTAAAGAATAGGGATGTGGGGAAATCGATTTAGCGATATATCGTGATTTTTAGCTAGTAAATTTAATATCGATTTTTTTAGTTTCTAATATTGATAAAAAAAAAACGAAACAATTTACTTAAAACAATGAAGGAAAATGGGCTACCTCTGCACCGCCACTCTGGCCGATAGAGCGGTGCTTTTGCTGTGCGGCGTGGCGCCATATCTGTAGTTGAGGCAGTCACAGTGGAAGACGCGGACTGACTCAAACCCCAAACAACACAGATACCAAAATAACGAAATGATCAATACCTTCTCATAAAAATATACAACACTTGCTTTTGATCTATACATTTAATTTTGATAGCTGGGAAAATATTGCAAGACATTGAGATATCGCGATAATATCGTATCGGTACCCAAGTATCGTGACACGTATCGTATCGCAACACCCATGCCAATACTCACCCCTATTAAAGAATGATTGGAATTTTTTCACAGAGAATTCAATATTTATAGGGAGATGATTCCACAAATCAGTTGACAGGATGTGAGATTTATATATATTTTTTTGTTTGTTTAATATGAGCGACATGCGGATCATTTTATTTTTATTTATTTTTTCATTACACGAAGAACTACTGAAATTATTTTCAGATTACGCATAAAGAGATAATTATAGTTATAGTTAATTCCTAGGAGGGAAATGAATGACTTTAGGGTTAGGATTAGGATTCACTCGGTGATAACAGCCTACTGGCTCAACCTAAAGCCATTCAATGGGACTGATAACCACATGCTGAGCTGACAGAACTCCCCCATTATGTTCAACTTTATTGTAGTTTTATGTATCAGGATAACTAACTTCACCAGATTCTTACCAGCTTCTAAAACCATGTAAATACAGTTAAAATTAGCTAAATTAGGTTTTGTTAATCCAATAAAAAACCACATTTAGCAGCAGGAACTTTCGTTTTCTGTTTGACTTTCAAAAGATGTTGGGTTCTCTCTTCTTTATAGTGTTAGCATCATCCTGTTATCAGCATTAGCCTGTTTGACTTCATATTTGATAACATTTTTTATTTTAACAAATCACTTCTGAAAACAAACCAAACCATCCCCCTCTGTTTGTTTATGCCGATAAACTTTATTTTTCATTTTGATCAAACGTCTCCACTTTGACCTCATCTGTCCAATGGAAATCCTTCTAAATGTCCTGCATGTTCTGCAGCAGTAGAAATAACAAACAAAGGTCGGGCTGACGCATTCTTTTTAGATAAAAAAAAAAACACAAAAAAACAGGAAGCTGGCAACTTTTCCCAAACAACCCACCTTTTTTTTTTAGTCCTAATTGAACAACTGCTTCCTCTTACGTTTCCTTGCCGAGGTTAAGAGGTTTGTTTGTTCTTCGGCGTTAGTTCCTGGTTGTTATAAACCGTCTTGTTGAAAAACATAAGCAGAGAAGACGAGATGTCGTGAAATAAATCACTCTAGTGACTATTAAAATGAATAAAACGACAAATTCTTTCATTCTCAAAACTAAAACTTCCCGTTCTTTAAGAAAAGGGGTTCTTAAAATAACAGGTTGTAACTGTGTTTATTCGTATCTGTGTCAATGAACAGACATAAAATGTTTTCTGAGAGCTGATCTGAGGGATTCCTTTGCTGTTTTTGTACCTCATGCATATTCCCACATTGTCTCGGGGACGTCCTCTGAAGTCCTCACTGATCCCCTGCTGACTCGCCCCGCTTTAATCGGCGAGAACAGACACGTCAGGACGGGGAGCGTCTCGTTACAGCGCAGATTGTTGCTCCGCACCTCTGCTGTTCTTTGGGATCAGGTCCAACTCATCCTTCATGTTTGTCTTGTTTGTTCCAGCTGGTCCTTACAGCGGTCTGGGGGAAGTGGTTTACAGAGAAAGCGTCCCCATGCACACTTTTGCCAAGTATCTTTTCACCTCCCTGCTACCTCACGACGCCGAGCTGGCGTACCAAATTGCACTGAGGGCCATGAGGTGAGTGACTGGCTGCAGGTGCAACAAAGAAATAAGAAAATATAGACTGGTCTGTGTATATATGCTGTTATTTATGAATCCATTCACTGACCCATCATATATGGGGAGAAGCAGGGGCCAGATTTTCGTTGCCTACTTCAGATTTTTTTTTTACAACATAATTTCTCAGAAATTAAAATATTACACACAAAAAAACACAATAGTTGTGAGATTTGTGAATGCACAAACTCACAAAAAAAGACTTAGTTTCAGAAACCAGTATATGCATTAGCCTTGAATACAGTAATGTTTGGAAGCAAAACAAACATGGCTGCGCCGGTGGACCTCTAGACTCTGTTATTCAGTCTGTTTCAGATGCGTTTGCCTTTGTGGATGGGAAGGGTGTTTTCTATATCTGCTAGTTGTGAAACAAATGAAGGATGTGATACGTTACAGTTGTGATTGGCTAAAAGCTCATCATCTGAGGCGGCTGCCACTTCACCCAATCACTCAGATTGAACTATACAGATCATTCTGGCTTATTCCAGGTTACATTTTTTCCCTTAATGAAGGGGTCTTCAACGTTTTCCAGGCCAAGGACCTCCAAACTGATGGCTAGATGGAGCAGGGACCCCCAATTATATATATTGTATGAAATAGTGTTATATCAAACTGGTCCTATAGTCAGTCTATTACAGATGGAGTAATGTAACGAAAGTAATTCCTCCCTGGGATTATTAAAGTATTTCTGATTCTGATTCCTGGTTGATGGGACAGGTGTTGTGAATGAAACGGTGCCCAGCTTGAAAGAGCTCCTGTGTGTCGCTGAATGTTTGCATTGATGACTGAAAGACATCTTCTGCCTCAATTTATCTGTGTGTTGAATTCATGTTCATGTGGATTTAAATACATTTCAATTAGTGGAAAAAACAGGGGGGGAATATAAAAAAAAAGTCTAATCAAGCAAAACTTTCGCGACCCCCATGCAGTACCTCCTTGGATCCCCTAGGGGTCACGGACCCCCTGTTGAAGACCTCCACCTTAAGGAAACAAAAAACAAGTAGAAAGTCTTCCCATTGCTCTTGCTCTGTATTAGAAATTCTCTTTCTCTCTTGTATCTCTCCATCATCCTCATCAGCCTTCCTTTCTTCTTGCAGCTCAACATCTTCATCACTTCTTCATTCTATTTCATATCTCTCGCCCAGCTTGATTCCCAGCTTACATCCTCTCTCCAGGTCCAAGTTCTCACTTCATGTTCAGATATTCCTACTTCTTAAAGTCAAATGAGTCCTGTTCTAATAGCTTTATAGTGGCTGTAATGTTGCCTGCAGTGCCACCTGCTGACAATTCTGCTGAGCTTCCTTTATCTACCTTAAACCAGCTGTGGGATGCAGAGTCTGGGTCCCGGCCAGGAAAAACGACTAAAGCGATTTAAATGAACGGCACAGTTTCCCATAAGGAGAGCTGTTAGGATGATTCCAGGAACTTGATGAAGTGCAACATGTCTGAAGGCATCAATAACGGGGGAAAATCTTAAATCAAATCTTATCTTTTAGATCCATCCTCTCCTGCTTGTACTGTCAGGGTTGCAACATGCAAGCTTTATACAGACAGATCTCAGGGTTGGAAATCGAACCCGGAACCTTCTTTCTACAAGGCAACAGTGCTACAAATAATGCCACCATGCGGTCGCTTTTAGAGCCATAGAGGTTAATCGTTTTTCCCTCTCCACCCTGGAAATAGGAAAGCCTGCATCACTAGAAGCCTAAAAATGATGAGTGCGTGCAGACTTGTGATCCAGCACTAAATGTGATGTGAGGAAGATGCTATCCCACTGTGACTCAGCTCTCCTGCCCTCCTGTGAGTGCCCTCTGCTCTGACGCAGACATGGAAGCTGATTTAGGATCCGACAGAGACATTGTTTAATGACAAAAAAAAAGCCTCCTTTTGCTGGAATATTCACTGAATAATTGAAGACCGCAGAGAAGCACTTTTACAAAAGCGTGTGAATAATAAATAAACGCCATCAGTGTTTCTGCCTGACCGTTTCTCTGGCCTTTATTAAACTGCACCAATGCTTTCTAGAACACCGAAAAAAAAAAAAGAAGAGAATTATTGAAACTGTGGGGAAACGGGAGGAAAATTGAGTTGTTATTTTTAAACAGCTTCATTTTCCAGAGACTGCAGCCCGAGGCTAAGATCCACCGGAGCTCAGGTGTGCAGATGCACAAAGGAAAGCTATCGATTGATCCTTTGAAATGAACGTTACACTTTGATAGCTTCTTTACCTCCTTGAAATGTTGCTGTGAGCCAGGAGATATTGAGTGTTGACTAAAAGAAGTTTTCCTCCACATCAGGTTGCCGGTCCTGGAGTCCACGGCCCCCTCTGCCGACCTGTCTCGTCCTCAACACATAGTGTCTGTGGTGCCCAATCGCTACCCTCGCTGGTTCACCCTCAGCCACATAGAGAGCCAGCAGTGCGAGCTGGCCTCCACCATGCTCACTGCTGCTAAAGGTACGAAAAGAAGTGCAAAGCTTTGATATGATGATATATGCTGTAGATCGTCTCCTACTTGTGTGTGGAGCTGTTTCTGTGTGTGGGTCAACTTTTGTCACTTTGATTTTGGAACCAACCTGAAAGTAAAATGTCTGTGTGTCAGAGAAAATCTTATTAAAAAGGCAGCACCCAGCACTGGAAACCATTCTTCATAACTGCCGGCTGGTGTTAATCTAGTTCACATAGATCATTTCTTTCTCTCTTTGCAGGTGATGAAGCAGACAGAAAATGTTTTATCATTATCCCCCTTTTATCTCCTCTTTCTTTCATCTTTTCTCCTTTTTCCTGTTTTTTCTTTCCTGTTCTACTTCAACTGCAGTGTCCATATAATCTGTAAGACTCCCTGCATAAATTATAATAAAGCTATTTATATGCATAAATCAAGCAGAACACTATGGCGATAGCCGTACTGCTCCACTTGTGAAAGTAAAACCTGTTGGGCTCATTATGGAGCTTTGACCAATTTTAAGAGAACAGAGATCAGCTTTCCCAACATTACTATCAAAGCCAGGAAGAACTCTGTACCATAGTCATTATATACGTAGACGCCTCATTGGACGCTGGCCGATGTGCCTAGAGGGCGGCCATTTTGGATCGGACCACAGTTCAGACAGCTGCTGTCTGAATGAATAGGAGGTGACTTAGATTTAACTTTGATAACATGAAAAACGAGTCAGAGATAATATTACAATATTCTATTACATGTCACAACCAATCCTAGATGGCTGCCCTGCCTATTGCAATGTGGCAATAAGAATAAGTGTCTTGATGCTGAAAAGAGCCCAACAGATTTAACTTTTACAAATGGAGCAGTACGGCTATCGCCATAGTGTTCCGCTTGATTTATGCGTATAAATAGCCTTATTATAATTCATGCAGGGAGTGTTACAGATTATATAGACACTGCAATGTAAGTAGAACAGGAAAGGAAAAAGGAGAAAAGATGAAAGAAAGAAGAGATGAAAGGGAGATAACGATAAAACGTCTTCTGTCTGCTTCATCACCTGCGAGGAGTGATATAAAAAGAGCAGCACAAACAAAGGATATATATAAGAGATAACACTTTAATACTTGTATTATTATATAGTAGTATTCTTTAATCTGACATGCATACTGTGGTAGCTGTAGGTAAGAATATGGGCTTTCTGTATGGAAGTGAATCTCTAAGTACCTGGAGCCAAGCACCTGTAGTTGTTTGTGAGAGTGCACTTGTGCATGTAAAGTTTATCCAAAGGAAAAATGCTCAATAGTGGTTGTGAGGAGCCAAAGACGCGCCCCTCCCAGAGCACAGAGGCGAGCGCTTGGGGACCCAAAACCCCAGATGTCCAAAGGGATACCCAGATGGCCGCCCTCTAGGCACGTCGGCCTGGCTGCCTGCAGCATCCAATAAGGCATCTATGTTTAAAATGTATATGCTTGCTGCTGTCTGAAGAGACAGGAGTGGACTATAGCCAATCACAGACAGTTTATTTTCTCAGGTTGGTTCCTCCCTCAAGAGACAGAAGTTGACATGAGCCACAGAAATGGAGGGAATCTACAGGAGCATAGAGATGGAGCATGGAGTCATGTTTGGGACCTCATGGTCTTAAATCTGTACTCATAAAACCTTTTAAAGTTGCATGAAGAGCACTTTATTTGTTTGCTTTTTAAACAAAACTGCATGTATGAGTATTTATTACCGTATTTTCACGACCATAAGGCGCACCGGACTAAAAGGCGCACTCTCAGTTATGTGTCCCATTTCTGTATTTAACACACACATAAGGCGCACCGGACTATAGGGCGCGTTTTTTATATACAGGTACATGTCCTCTACTACCTTTAAATACCTCTACTGCGTATTTAAAAATACAGCGGGGGCAAAACTGAGTATGACTGTGCTTTATTCATGTATTTATTACAAAGTATTAATCAAACCTGGCAGCTGGCCATGAGACAGACACATCGCAGATGACACAGCGCTGTGATCACTCCTAAATTAACTTAAAATCCTGAAACCTGCCGACGGAATATGTTCGCTTTTATTACCGGTATCCTGGTGCCTGCAGCTAAAATTATTTAGATGAAAAAACACCTGCCAGCAGCCGCGGTGAACGAAAGGATTTCTCCTGTCGGTGCACCGCTGGTATGTGGGGGTCTGAGCGCCTCCGACAGAAATAGATAATCTGGATGAACTGACTGCAATTATGAAGTTTTCAGGTGGACTTTCTCACTTAAAAACATATTAAAACTACTTTATTCCCACTGATCACAGCAAATATAGCTGCAAGATTTAGATTATTTAGATGAAAAAACACCTGCCAGCCGCCGCGCTGAAGAGGAGGAGACGCGCCCAGAGGCTGCTGTTGAATTAAGTTTTCAGGTAGAAAAATACAGCGGGAGCAAAACTGAGTATGATTGTGCTTTATTCATGTATTTATTACAAAGTATTAATCAAACCCATCAAAGTCATCATCCTCTGTTATCCTCAGCATTCCTCTGAATAAAACAGCTGCGCTAAATCAGACATGCCAGTTTCCCCTTCTGCGCTGTCAGTCACTTTCCGTGCAGCGCGGCTCCTCAGAAATAATGCCGGCTTTTGCGAAAGCTTGAACAACAGAGCCAGCAGACACAGTCCATCTACAATCCATCCGCAAACGGCGGCGTAACTTGCACGGCGCTGCCTTCCATTTATCATGAAACTGTGGTCTCCGTCTGTCATCCATCGCTCCCACGCCGCTCGCAGCCTTACTGTGAACGGCCGCTCCACACCGATGTCAAGCGGTGGAAGTTCCTTTGTCAGACCCCCGGGATAACGGCGAGCACAGCGTTCATTTGATTCATCTTTTTTTCACATCGGCTGTGAGATGGGCACGCAGCGATGGTGATGCGTGGAAAAAACCACCTAGTCTTCTCACATACACCTGCCTTTCATCATCTCCTCATCCATCCAGCCCTTTTCATTTGCGTTAATATCATATGTCATCAGAGCGCTGTGTCTGTCTCGCTGTCAGCTCCCAGATCAGCTTCTCTGATTGGTTGATGCGGCGCGTCCAGCAGCAAAACTTCAATTTTTCCATCTGAGCAGCAGCAGCGCGTTGGCGGTGCGTCAGATGCTTAAACGCTCCCGACGTGCTGCACCAAAACGCGCTGCAGGACCTTTTGCTGCACCTATACGCGCGTCAACCATTGACTTTGCATGTAAACTCGCTGCTTCTGCTGCACCTGCTGGGTCCGGTTCACACCGATGTCGAGCGGTTGAACAGCAAGCACAGCGTTAATTTGTTTCCCCATGTTTTTCACATCAGCTGTGAGATGGGCACGCATGGAGTTACATATTAACAGCGATGGTGATGAGTGGAAAAAAAACACCTGGTCTCCTTACATTCAGCCACTCTTTCATCATCTCCTCAATGAGGTGGTCTCAAAAGTCGCAGTTACAACACACATAGGGCGCACCGCACCAAAGGGCGCACCGCACATTTTGAGGAAAAAAAAAGACGTTTAAGTGCGCCTTATAGTCGTGAAAATACGGTACATATGTGCATTTTTTTGGTAGTCTTCATATTACACCCTGATAATCTTTGAGGAATCTTTTTACACTTGATCTGACTCGACCTTCGCTCATTATAAATATCAAAAAGGAGGTTGGTTATCCAGTGTCTAGATGCGTTTAGGTGTTAGAGTTTGTCTATCAAACTGTGACAATGAAGTAAATTGTGGAAAAAAGGTTACTGCTGATTACTTCTCCAAGCCACATGTTGATTAAGCCCATGACTTTGGGTACTGGCTCTCTAGAATCTGCACCACAGTTTATTTTCATGCTGTGAACGTTCTGACTTAAACATGTTGAAATGATTGTTCTGCTTTTAGCTGCTACACAACGCGAAACTCCGCATTATTAGTCAGCGGAAACCTTTTTCTGCAAAGACGCAAAGAAATGTTGCCTATTAGCCACAGCTCGACACTCCACACGCCCAGTGACAGGAAAACCAGGCCTGTGTGTCACAATACAGACGTGAAGATGCAGAGGAAATGAAGCCATCTATGGTGATGATATGAAACCTGTAGAAAACAGTCCAATTTACTTGAAGCGGTTTAAAAGTGGAAAGTGGGAGAAAAAAAATGTCTGAGTGAGAGTATGAGCAGAACTTGGTGTTTAACTGTCGTTCTGTTTTTAGGTGATGCCTGCAAGCTCCACACAGTGTTAGAATCCATCCAGAAGAACATCCACTCCTCCTCTCACATCTTCAAACTGGCCCAGGATGCCTTTAAGATCGCCACTCTGATGGACAGCCTGCCGGACCTCACGCTGCTCAAAGTCTCCCTGGAGCTGGGCCTCCAGGTGAATGACACGCAGACACAGATGCATGCTCCGCCAGATGTGATGCGGACTCTGCTGACCTCTTGTGTCCCCCGCAGGTGATGAGACTGACCCTGTCCACGCTGAACTGGCGGAGGAGAGAGATGGTGCGCTGGCTCGTCACATGTGCTACTGAAGTCGGTGGGTTTGGTTTCAGCACTACTAAAAGGAGGTAGTCGGTGTCCGTTAAGAAGGATCTAGTCTGCAGAGTAATATGTTCTAAAGTCAGACACGACCAGTAAAATGGTAACAACGGCGTCAGTAGCCAACCATGTTGGAGCATTATTCATTAACTCAAGACGGTTACAGAAGGGAGAATAGGAGTTTAGTTAGTTTATCAGTTTTCTCTTCTAGTTAATCCGCTCGGCTACATCATTTTGATGTTTCAGACTGGCTAGCATCAGTGACAACTTTATTTTAAAGGACATATTTAATCATTTCATCTCCGTTTGGGCTTTAGTCCCTATTCCCTAATGTGAGAAACCTCTAAAAAGGCAGAAAGGAAAAAAAGGAACATAAGAAAGAGTTGAAGTAAAGAAAGCAGGGTCAAAAGAGGAAAAGAAAGTAAAACAATAAAAGAAAGGAGAAAAAGGCTAGGAAGGAAAAAGGGAAATATTAAAGGAAACGTAAGATAGAGGAGAGAAAAGGAAATGAATTAAGAAGGAATAAACATAATAGGGAAAAGATGAATGGGAGAAAGAAAATGAATGAATAGCAATTTATTTCATACAATTTGACAAACAACAATAAATGAAACAACCAAATACACACAAAAAAAAAACTAGTCAACATAAAACCAAACACATACTTCCAAACAAACTAAATTACCTGAACATAAACAGAAACAAAACCCTCCACCAAATAAACCTGTCTGCATATACAGCCAGAGAAATGGCATCGATGAATAAAATGGAATGGAATGGAAGGAAGGACAGTAAAGAAAGGAAGTAAGGGAAGGAAGGAAAGAAGGAATTGACTAATTTAATGTCCACTCAGAATAAAATTTTTAAATCAAAGTCTTTCATTTCAGTATGAGGTCATCAGACAAAGCTAATCATGGTGGTTTATTCAGTGATCAGGAGGAACATCTGGGATCAATAGCTTAGAGATCTAACAAACCGGCATCATACGGAGGACCTGATCCCTGCTCCAGTTCTGACCTGCACTGTTAATCCGATTCCATCAAACCATGCCACCCAGATGCTTAATATTAATAGCTGTTTAAGGGAGGTAACAGTGAAGGGAAGCAGCTAAAAGTCTGCCTGCCAAGGCGATCTCACTTCCTATGCCTGTCTGCTGTTGGTTTTGTTAAACCAACATCTGATTCCACCCTAAAGAGTCGATTAATGATGCACAACCAGGTGACGGCGGATATCAGACACTCTGTCATTCATGTGCCTCAGGCCAGAGCTGCTGCCAATGCTTTGAAGACACAGTCTTGCCTTTGTATTGAAGAAACAGACTGAAAATTCATGGGTAAAAAGAGCAATACCCGATTTCCTGCCATCAGGATCCAGAACATCTTTATAGTTTTTATTTTATAATAAAATTACAAGCAGGAATAAATGAAATGGTAAATGTCTTGAGCAAACAGACCCTGCTGTGATTACTTCTGTTTTATTTAGGCTTTTCACATGAGCCTGAGGATCCTGCAGCTGCTGTTTGATTTTGGTTGAAACCTTCGTGAAAAAAAAAGTCTGCCGTGCCCTTTGGCTCCTGAGGGATGGGAAAAGCAAACAGCTAGTTAGAAATAATTCAATGTGTTCCTGTCTGCACATGCTTTGTGATGTGAGCCACACTCAAGGCTTTTGCACCACATTACAGTAGACGATGGATTTATAGGGGTGAGAAATGACCGACAGGGCGGTAATTGTAGAATGTTGTGGGCTGATTAAGAGGGTCTTTATGTTTAGACTCTGATCCTGCTGGATTTCCCTAAAGCAGGCAGGAAGTTGTGTCCAGAGGGAAGCCCGCCTCCCGGAGGATTTCATGTGAACGTAACGGTAGCGACAAGCGGCTCCCTGTTTGGGCAAGGGCTGCTTGAATGGATGCATTCAGAACATTCCAGTTGGGGATGCAGAGCAGAGCCACGTCAAAGGTCACAAAATTAGAGACAGAAAATCTAATTGAGGAAACTGATTTAAGTGACCTTTCATTTTCACAAGCACATCCAAAAAAAAGAAACAAAGTTTTGTCTGTTTTAGTTTTTCATATTCATTTGATTTTCTTCCTTTTTGGAACTTTTTGAACATTTTCTTTTTACCAAATTAATGCCTCCATTGCATCTTTTTGATTGTATTAGTTTTTATAATATTGCTTTTTTTTTAACCCCAAGCTCAGTTTACTGTGATTGCCTTTTGGGAACAAACAATGTTATCATAAATTTAATTGTTTACTGTTAGTCTGTTGTTTTTGTGAACCAGTGTTGCTTTTAACAGCCATCTTAGATTTAGTCTAAGTCTTCAGGACGAAAACTATTATTAGTTTTAATCAGTGTTGTCAAAAGTACACACATTTATTACTTAAGTAGAAGTATAGATACTGCAGTTTAAAAACACTAAAAGTTGAAGTATCAACTTGACCTCTTTACTCAAGTAAAAGTGAAAAAGTATGTGCTCCAAAAACTACTTAAAGTATAAAAGTATAAAGTAACCTTTAAAAAAAACAGCCAGATGCCACTATATGAATTGAAAGCTCAATTTTTTAACTATTTCTAAAAATTCTTTGAGATAGGGCCAAGGATGAGGAAGGTCTTGTTGGTCTCCATCTCTCGATACGCTCTCGCCTGTGTCCGACCTTTCAGACATTTCAGCATCTTTTTCTGAATCCATCACTGTAGCATGGCATAGACAATTCACGTTTGCAGTTTGAAGAACACCTGCTTGCTTCTGATGATTTCCTTTAGCTAACCAATGAGTGTTTGCGTTATATGAATCATCCAATTACACTAGTTTTCACTAGATGTGGAAGGAGCCAAGGAGTAACATTTGTTTTAAAAATGTAAGGAATAGAAAGCACAGATATTTGTGTGAAAATGTAATGAGTAGAAGTCAGAAGTAGGAAGAAAAATAAGTAATGGAGGAAAGCAGGGGTCTTCAACGTTTTCCAGGCCAAGGACCCCCAAACTGATGGTGAGATGGAGAGGGGACCCCCTAATTATATCAATTGTATGAAATATTTGTTATATCAAACTGCTCCTATAGTCCCTCTATTACATATAGAGTAATGTAACGAAAGTAATTCCTTCCTGGGATTATTAAAGTATTTCTGATTGTGATTCCTGGTTGATGGGACAGGTGTTGTGAATGAAACGGTGCCCAGCTTGAAAGATCTCCTGTGTGTAGCTGAATGTGAGCATTGATGACTGAAAAACATCTTCTGCCTCCTTTTATCTGTTTACTACAGTCTGTTGGATTCATGTTAATGTGGATTTAAAGACATTTCAATTAGTGGAAAAAATTGCAGGGGGGAATATAAAAAAAAAGTCTAATCAATCAAAACTTTCGCGACCCCCATGCAGTACCCCCTAGGGGTCACGGACCCCCTGTTGGAGACCTCCGGAGTAAAGTATAGATACCTGAAAAGTATACTTAAGTACAGTACCAAATTATTTGTACTTCGTTACTTGACTTCTCTGGTTTTAGTCACATTTTATATGTTATAGTTTCAGTCGGATTTGTCGACTAAAACTTAAAAAGGTTATAGTTTAGTTTTAGTCAGCTTTATGTTGTAAAAAAAAAAAAAAGAACCTTTACAATTTCGAATAACAACCAGATTCTTTACCAGACTGACAGCTCTTGTCTATATACTACACTTGCTGGGTATGGAATAGGGGTGGGTATTGCTAAAGAAGTCACGTTTCGATTCAAATCACGATTCACAGGCCACGATGCGATTCTATCATGATGTATCACGATACTTGAATTATTGCGATGCATTGCAATATTTTCTCCTCCATGTTTTGTTTTTGAATGACTCGGCGCAGTAGAAATGCTTGTGACACAAGGCAGCGTGCGTCAACACATCCGCAGCGACATCTACTGGACTTGAAGTTGTAATACACTTGTTTTTGGCTGATGTTCGCCAACCATTTATGCAATTTTATTTACTCATTTTTTAAATTAATAATCAATACTTGGCGTCAAGAATCGATGCAGTAGATCATGAAAATTAGAATCACGATGCATCATCATGACGATTATTTTGCACACCCCTCGTATGGAATGCTGCCGTGCAGTTCATCATTGCAGTTCGGCGGAAAACTTTGATTAATAGAATTCAAATAAACTTTATAAAAAAGTTGTGAAAATAGCAGATCTAGTGGAGGAGAGGGAAATATTCAAAGATTTATGTACCTTTTCAGCTGACTCTTTGTCCAAAAATAAACAGAATTTGGTAGAAATTAAAGAATGTTTAGTATCACCTCTTGTGACCTGGAAGAAAAAAAATCTTGATAGTTAGACAAAGGGATTTTTTTACACTTGGCAGAGGATGATCAGCCACATAGTTTATTAAGTAGCGATGGAAGAGCTGTACTGCTAAGAGTGAACCATTAGCGTGAAGCGTAGACTTGGAACTACAAAGGCGCATTTTTACACAAGCATAGATGGGAGATCAGATCAGGGTTTGTCAGAGTTGAGCGTGCAGTGCCGGAACATTCCAGGTTATTTTCTCAGACCCTGCTGCTGCCATGATCCAGCATGTGCAACGCTGCATGGCAGGTAGGTGGCAGGATCAAACAAGCAATTAAGAAGTTTAAACGTCTGACTGATAACCCGCTATTTTTTAGTCAAAAACTCAAATCTATGACTTGTCATGTTTTCGTCAACAAAGATCTTCGTTTAGCTCGTCAGTTTTCGTGAAGAAAGGAGCGTCGACAAAATGGTTTTGCCATCCTTATCGTTGAAGAAAACAACACTGTTGTGAACTTTATTTTTTTTCCCTGCTGTCATAATGAAAATGGGGGAAAGAAAAAAATGTGAATCAGTATGCAAAGCTTAATAGAATTAGTAAACAAAACCAAGTTAGAATTTAAATGTATCTAACATGATTCACTACAAACCTGGTAGAGTACCAGGAGAAATAAAGTCATGAATGCAGAGGCCATGCAAACCTTCACCCAGAAAATTTCCTACAGGCAATTCACAATAGTAGGACATTTTATCAATGAGCCAAATAGCCAAAAGCCATTTATTTACATTAATGTGGAAAAAAATTGAAGTACAGAGTATTATGCTTTGAGGAATGCCACAAGGAATGCAAATAAAAAACTGTTATATTTGATCAAGATAAAAAACATTCAGGATCAGGGGCATACAGTTTCTATGCAAAGCTTATGGTGAGTGCATGGAGGGGAGGAAAGGTTTTGTGAACATCTAGAGGGATGTGACACTTCAAAATGGCAGATTCCAGAGTTTGAGAATCGTAACTTTTGGAGCTCAATGCGACGTATCAACTAATCAGAGAAGCTGGTTGAGCTGAAACTGTTTATTGCCTACGTTAACTTAAAATGTCAAAACCTTTTGCCATATTATGAATATAATGTATATATGATATGTATGTGTGTATATATATATGTTTATGTATAAGGGATGGAACGGTTTATGAAAACTGTCCGAATCGTTCGGTTCGACTGTCTCGGTTCGGTTCGCGTGTGTTGCGTTCGGTTCATGCGCTGCTCCTTTTTCTCATAGGCGAAGCGATTACACTCCAGAGCAGAAAGTGGCGGTACTGCGACCAAAGCCAACCACCAGTAGTAAACAAGAAGAAGAAGCGAAGCAGTGCAGCCAGGTGTAGCAGAAAAAAATCAGTTGTTGTGGAGAATTGTGTGGGTATGGCGAGTGGGAAAGAACAGGAGTTGGAAGACGCGCCAGCAGCACTTTATAGGTCTGCTGTATGGGACCACTTTTCATTTAGAGTGACCTACGATGACGGCTGAAAGAAAGTTGTGGATAAAAGTGCAACAGTGTGCAAGCATTGTGCAACACGATTTGTTTATGCTAACAGCAACACGACCAACATGTCAGACTAACAATCAACATATGCCGAACCGAAAACCGTGACCACGAAACCGTTCCACCCCTATTATGTATATATGTATGAATCTATATATTTATATTTATGTTTGTATGTATGAAAATATGTGTGTATATTATATATACACACATATATATATGTGAATGTGTATGTACAGTATGTGTGTATATGTATATACATACATATATGTATGTATGTGTATATATGTATATATATATATATATATATATGTATGTATGTGTATATATATATATATATATATATATATATATATACATATGTGTGTGTGTGTGTGTATTACAAAAAAAATCCACTTATACACACTCAAACTCACTACAAACGGCATCGGGAAATCCACAGCCTCATGAGGCCTCTCATATACCACATACACCAGTGCTATTGCCCACTGGTACATGCAGGTCTGCTGCTCAGAGTATTTTAAAGTAGGATTATAATCCTGATGAACTGACTGTAAAGATCATATTTTGGGGTTTACTTTCTCACTTAAAAACATCTTCCAACTACTTGCTTTGCTTTTCATCAAAGCAAATAAAAGCAATTTCTTGTCTGGACTTTATCTGGTTTTATAATCAAGACCGTTGTGCTTAATGCTCTAAATTCATCTAAGTTGAGGCACTGGACGCTGCTTTGATGCTCAAAATGTGTTTGTTGAACAATCAGTTACCTGCTCAGTCTCCGATTACTCCATGTTTGAATCTAGCTTGAAGCTAACGCCTCTCTTCCTCTCCTTAGGTGTGTTTGCTCTAGACAACATCATGCAGAACTGGTTCACGCTCTTCACCCCGACGGAAGCGACCAGCGTGGTGGCCAGCACCATTATGTCCAATAGCACCATTGTCCGCCTTCATCTGGACTGCAATCAGCAGGAAAAGCTCGCTAACTCCGCCCGGACCCTGGCCTTGCAGTGTGCCATGAAGGACCCCCAAAACTGTGCGCTCTCTGCCCTGACGCTATGCGAGAAGGACCACATCGCTTTCGAGACGGCCTACCAGATCGTACTGGACGCGGCCTCTACAGGAATGAACTACACTCAGCTGTTTACAATAGCACGCTACATGGAGCACCGCGGCTATCCCATGAGGGCGTACAAACTAGCGACGTTAGCCATGACGCACCTTAACCTCAGCTACAACCAAGACACACACCCGGCCATCAACGACGTGCTCTGGGCCTGCGCCCTCAGCCACTCGCTGGGAAAGAACGAGCTGGCTGCCGTCATCCCCCTGGTGGTGAAAAGTGTGAAGTGCGCCACGGTACTGTCGGACATCTTACGGCGGTGCACGCTGACCACGCCGGGCATGGTGGCGCTTCACAGTCGCAGGAACTCGGGGAAGATGATGTCGCTGGACAAGGCTCCACTCAGGCAGCTGCTGGACGCCACCATCGGGGCCTACATCAACACCACGCACTCTCGGCTGACGCACATCAGCCCACGCCACTACAGCGAGTTCATCGAGTTCCTCAGCAAGGCCAGGGAGACGTTCCTGATGGCGCTGGATGGACACATCCAATTCACGCAGTTTATAGACAACTTGAAGCAAATCTATAAGGGCAAGAAGAAGCTCATGATGTTAGTTCGAGAGAGATTCGGTTGAGCGGCTGTATTTCTGCTCGTTTTCCGACTGGGGAAAGACATTTCGCCTACTGAAGGCCCTAACATGAGGAATAAGTCTCTGAGACTGCTTAAAATGTGCTGAGGCACGAGCAGAGGGATGTTAGCGTCGGACAGACCAAAAGCAATGAAGTATGGAGGGAATTTTGATCCAATATGTTTGCAAGCAAAGAGCACGTTTTGTAAATGGGAATTTAAAAAACACATTTTGTAAAGTAATATTTAAACAAAATGCATTCCAGAAATGAAACTTTGGAAAACAAAGGTTTTGAGAGTAACATTGCTGTTTTCTCCAATTTCTTTTTTTTTTTCTTCAAATTTTATTTATTTAAAGTCGTAGGGAAATCATATTGTCAATATTTTCCCAAATTTTAGAAAATGTCTATTTAAAAAAAAAATCCTGTCTTATAATCTGTGTTTTTTTTCCCGTTATCTTCTGCAGGCCAGTTAGTTATACGTCAGCCCGAACACCTAAATTCGGCCAATCATATATCAACGGTCATCTGTCAATCAAACTTTTTTGCTCATAGCATTTTGATTCATATGTCGCAGCTAATATACGCAACGGTTGAAATAAGAATCATTTCCTTTCCCATTGAGTTCCGTCCCAGTGTTCAGGGGGATGGACGTCTGTGTCTTCAGCAGGCGTAGAGCTAACAGAACTGGCAGCGTTGCGAGGCAAGGGCTCAAACATGTACGGCTGGAAGCCTTCTACACCAGACCAAGCTTCTGCTGCCCTGGCGTCCTCTTCCACAACATCTTCATCCCCGCTTTCCTCCTCTAAATAATAAATGTATGACGGAGGAGACTCATCCACGACCTCCGACACTAAACTCTCCTCCTCTTGCATGTTTCCTCTGTCCATAGCGTTCCTTGACAGTGTCGTTTCTAAGTCACCAATTTAGTGCTACTTGGTCTCAATGGAATTTCCCATTGGGAACCTACTAGCACTAAGTTGCTAACTGGTTAGCAACGACGCTTCCAGCGAACCGGCCACAACCAAACTTGGTTGCGAACCTTCCGCCACAACAATCCCGCCCCCTTGATAAACGACCAATCACATTCACTTCATTCACTTGTGTAAAGTCGGGCACCACTGGGGAGAATTCGGAAATGCAACGGTTGGAACAGCCGCTTCCCTACGACCTTAAAGAGGAACTTGCAGGAGAAGGCATTTTATTGTAATATTTTGGTGCCAAACCTCAGTCTAGTACTGAAACAAACTAGACCGTACGTCCTTAAATTTGTATCAATTTTTCTCATACGCACCTGTCTCGTTAAAGATTATTTATTCAGATGTTATTTACTGTATGTTTTAAAAAATTGCAGATGTCATATATGACTTTTTTTTTCTCCCAATTTCTGTTTCACAGATTGAGTTTCAAAAAGAACTTTTTTTTTTTCAAATTGCATTACAGTTAATTCTCTTCAGAGGGCTTTCCTTTGGAGGGAGGCACAAAGGTGCATTTCATTATTATTGTCCTTTAAGGGAAGAGAATCTTATCTATGTAATACAATTTAAAAACAATTCAATATTTACAAATCCATCTTGAATCTTGGTATATGAATACATACTAAAAAATATAAAAACTGTAAAAAAAAAAAAATTGGAAAATTAGAAATAATTGGAATGAAAAATAGAATTAAAAAAATGTAATTAAATCTGAAAAAACATCAAGGTTACTCTGAAAACCAATCATAAAAGTTTTATTTTTGGATTGCATTTTTTCACATTTCAATCCAAAAAAATGTTGTTTTTCATTCTTTGTATTTACAAAATATATTCTTAGGCTTGAAACAATAATGGAGCAAAATTCACTCCATAATGAAAGGGGGACAGAAACCCAGAATATAATAAACGAACAAACAACCAACCAACACCAGGGGGCAGATGCATGAAACCGTATTTATAGAGATGTGATCAGTCTCACCTTATCTGTAGCTAAAGCTCAGCAGGATCAGGGGCCAATTTTTCATAACACAACAATGTTCCACGGGTTTCTTAGTACTGTGCAATCAGAATGGACCTCAATAGCGGGTGAGCTGTTTTCTTTTTTGCCGCATTCAGAAATAGACGCTCCATTAAACTTCTGATCATTCCGAAGGTAGCCTGCTATTGGTTGTGGCGGCTCCTTGTAAAGCCAAGGAGACCTGCAAGGATCTGATCCCAAACCTTCATTTGCTACCTCTCCTTCCTTCATCTTCTCTTTTTCTTTTAGAAACTCCCACACATTCAGCTGAAACCGGAAAAAGTTGAGTCCTGTATACAGTAGCCCTTCTATTACTTGATGTTGATGGACCACTTCAGACATCAGCTGGATTTCTGTAAAAAATTAAACCATCTTATCCCATAAATAAACATTTAGCTTTTTTCAATCACTGCTAGCAAAGGTCAAAAGACAATCTCTTTAGATTCTTTCTTAAAAAATGTAAAAGAAAACAAGATATTTTTTTTAAAAGCCGATGCTGATATCAGTTACTTTGACATCCGACCAACTGATCTTTGATTAGTGCTTTTGAAGCTGATATTGCTTTTCTTTAATTTAAATCATAAAAATCACACAATAATAGCAAATGTTACAAAAGTCTCCATTTAATAAACAGACAATGTTTTTGTCAAATCAAAAAGAACAATTAGAATGGATTGGAAATGGACGGAGCAGCAATGCATGCTGCTGAATGCGCTATGAGTAAAACTTTTAGTCTGTGTTGACATTATCACTTAAATTCAACCTACAGGTCTAAAGGCAAATAAAATGTCCTTCGCTCTTTTTGACATTTAGTGAAAATACAAACAATACATCAGAAAAGCCCAGTATATTTAAATGCAGTTTGCATGACAATGAAAAATACACCCAAATATATATATATATTACTAAACCATTGCAGTAATAATGGAGCCACATTTATTAAAATTTATTTAAAAAAAAATACTGGAAATCTCAGATTTAGTTTCTTCAAATGATATTTCAGGCTGCAGTTTTTAAAGTTTACACTGCAAAAACGATCTAAAAATGAGTAAAAATGTCTTAAATTAAGTGTATGTACCCTTAATTTGAACAGATTTGCTAATGGAATTAGTATTTTTACTATTAAAATAAGATAATTACATATTATGCACTTGAAATAAGACAATGCAATTGTTTTTTCTTATTGTAAATGTAAATTGGCAAAGTGTTTCACGTACCTCCTTTGTTCAAGAAAACATGCACTTATTTTAAGAAAAGATAAATTTTTTTTGCAAAAACATTTTCTGCACTCTTAGAGATTTTAAAAGTGTCCAAATTTTAAAAAAATCAGTTGAAAAATTAGCTTCAAACATTGTCGTCTGTGTAGAGATGGTTTTAGGTGACACGGCATTTCTGCATCTGATCCCCTGGTCCACCCGTTCTGCTCGCTCTCCTTTAGACGTACCATAGAGAGGGTCGCCGTCTCAAAGAGACGGAGCGGCTTTTAAACCAAACGGAGCAACTCCACCTGAACTGACGAGTACCTCTTGTGTAAAAGCAACAATAGAACTAAACCCAGCTTTAACCCCTACTCTACACCCTCTGAGTTCATCCGCCCAAGAATAAATGAGGAATCAGAGTTCATTTTGCCGCCTTTTCTCTGGCTTCACGGCGTCGCTCATGTGGAAGCTGTCAAACTACATTCTCAGGGATTTCTCTCCAAAAGTAGGCGGGGGGTTAAAAGCATTTTATATTTCCTGTATGTATATATATATATATATCTATATATATACATGAAAGACAAATGTCTGATTATTGGAAAAAGGAACCCAACAACAACACGTATGTTAACTAATTTATAAATATTCTATGTAAGGCACAATACTTGAAGCTGCAGTACTTTGGATTTTGAAACAGAGAGAAGACATATCAGTAGGAATTTAAAAGGTTTGGGTCAGGATGTGCCGCCTGCAGATGCGGACTGAGCTGCAGGAAGGCTTGTCCTGAACACAGAGGCGCATTGAGGACTTTAATGTGGGACAAAGAGAGGCCTGTGGAGGCAGAGAGGCCCTCTCCTCCGCACGCCCCGCCGCCTCCTCAACCTCCACGCCTCTTCTCACCCATCTGGACTTTATGGGGGACAGAAAGTTGCTCTCCTGACTGTTCCACGCTCCTTGACTATTCATTCCTCTGCCTCTAAGCTGATCCGCTTTTGTTTCTTTCTAGTATTCACTCGCACGACCAGCCTTCCTAACTTGCCTTGTCTTAATGCTTTAAATGAACCAAATGGGAGTTGGACGAACCAAACCGCTTTCCTCTGCCAACGGACTTGTGTTACAGCCTCTTTGATTCGTAGCTGGACTGGCTCTGTGCCGCGTGCTTTAAAAAAAAAAAAAAAAAAGCCCATCCTGTTCCTGGTGTCGTCTGTTTGTAGCGCCTTCGTTTAGAAACGAATATTGATCCTTTTTATTTATTGCGTCAGGTGAAATGATTGTACGACCATGTCAACATGCTCATGAATATGAAGATTTGATACACTGATCGATTTATTTATGTAACTAAATCACTGTTTTATAAACTTGATGAATCAACATTTTGTTCTGATTAAATTAGTTTTTTGAGAGGATTTTTTTGTTTGTTTTTGCTTTTTTCTGGTATGTTGGGTTTTTTGAATGACAATTGCAAGAAGCAAGGAGCCTGGGAAAAGGGATAAAAGGTAACCGACAAATGCAAAAACCACAAATATGCCACAAGTCACAAAGTATTGCCTGCACTATGTGCCACATTGATGCTGCACATTCAGCTTCGCATATTTGGGAAGTGACAGGAATGTTTTTTGCAATTAAAGATCTGCTTTTAGTAGAACAACCTTTGTCTTCAGTCGTACGTGTTTTTGGGGTGCGTCTCCACCAGCTTTGCAGATTAAAAGAATTAAAGTTTTTCCTTTCCAAAACAGCGTAACCTTCATCAGATTAGCTTGAGAAAATCTCTGAACATTGATTTAAATTTGTAGCATAGATTCTGACTGATAAGATCTGGACTTTGACTGAGCCATTCGAACTTCAAAGCTTAAAAAGTCAGCTGTTGGCATGTTTATGAGAAAATATTGTCTTTGACATTGCAAGGTTTTTCAAACCTCTTCAGTCTTTCCCCATGAGGGTGCAGCCTTTAATGATGTCGCCACAGAGCAGGGACGGATTTGAAATGAGAAGACAACACATAAAACAGACCCACAGGTAGAGCAATGTTAATAGAATAGACATCCATTATTTGTTCTACGTTTTGTCCCTATTTTCTTCTCCAGTTTCTTGTTGTTTTCTTCTCCTTCCTGTGTTTCC